ACAATTAACTGAGTTATTTAAGTCTATTCTTGAGTGGCTGAGTGTGATACATTGGTAACGAAAGGGCAGCGTGACTAACTTAAATAGCCTGCAGAGGCTATTAATTTTTTTTAACTCTGAAAATGTTCGTTAGCCTAAATTCAGATAAAATAAAGTATGCAACAACATAAAGATTAACAGGAGGAACATATTCAGGCTAGCCATATTGTTTTCATCCAGCACTTGGTATCCCCAATAAAAGAGAGACTCGAAGTTCCCTTGACTACTTGTGGACTTCTCTTGGAAAGATGGCCCTCTAGGCGGGGGGAAGGCCAGGGCATTTGCCACTGCGAGGTCATTCTAAGTGTAGAAAATTAAATAAACCCTACCAGCAATACCAAAAAAAAAAAAANTTTATGCACTCTTAACTTAAAAAGAATTCCCTCTAATCTTTATTAGCCATGTATCAGTAGGAAGGAACGATACCGCAAATCTTATCGCAGCTGTTTAAAAATCAGAAAGCTAATTTTTTTTCGAAATATGAGGTTTTTCAGAGAGCTTAATATAGTCCATTTAACTAAACATTTTAGCTTATTCGAAATTTCTATAGAAACAAATTCTTTTCGACGTCACTCACTTCTCAGCCTGATTGTAATACTCGCACGGATCGTCGCGCACATTATAAAGGCATGGCTTCTTCTCCTGATAATCACAAGCATTCGGCGGCACCTCCAGCACGCACTCCACTGTCGCTGCCTTCCGCATGCGTATCACCTCCGCCACGCTGGGTGTCATATTCAAACTGGCCAAAGCGTGACCAACGGGGCAACGTTGTAGCGTCTTTAAATCATAAGCGTTAGCATCGCGCACGCCCGGCGGACCATACCAACCATTCCACATGGTGGGATAATTTGTGCCATAGACAAGCTTCCAATCGCCCATAGTGAGTGCTGCGCTGCCCCAAATATCGTCGATATTATGGAGAATGGTGCGACGCGGTGATAGTTCATCACGCGACAGCTCATTCCAAATGCTAACGCCGTCCAGAGCAGCCGTAGCGTTACTAAGCGATAAGCGGAAAAGTAAACGAGTGAACAAATCACACAAATAAGTGTTCGTAGGTAATTATCATACTCACGGCTGCTGGTGCTTTTGTACAGCGTCGCCACCTGCCGCTGCTGCGCTCAACAATGTTGGCAGCCAATCGACAATATGCATACGCTGTTCGGCTACACGCGGCCGGCTCTGTAGACGCGGCGACCATAGCAACGCTGCGCCACGCACGCCACCCTCCCACACAGAATTTTTAACGCCACGCAGCGGCCAATTTGAAGCGTGATTGAGATTGAAACCTTGCGGTGGGCCACCATTGTCTGTGCTAAATACGATGATGGAGTCTTGTAGCATTTTATGCGCTTGCAATTCCTGCACGATACGCCCGACAGACTGATCCAGTTGTGTGAGCATAGCTGTCGAGAAAAATGGGGCAAATATTAGAAAGAAAAGAAGAAGAAGGTGTCGTAGTACAAGCAACAAATACAACAAATACTAAAGAACATTTAGTCGACCCACAAATGCGCAAAGTTCGTTGACTCATAACGCGCGATGAACGGTTAGCTTGAAAAATAGTAGATGAGCGCTCTTGCAGCAGACATGCAGGCGGCATTGTCACTCTTACTTGGTCTACATTTGCATTATGCAAATTTTTAATTAGATAATTGATTTGAATTCCATAACAAAATGAGCGTTAATTATGCGATTAATTTGCATGAGTAACTATGAGAAAGCCAACACAACATCAAACTGATTTTGTTTAGAAAACAATGCATTTTTGAGTAACGCGATCGCGGCTTCTTTCTCTGTCTTTTACCTGCAAATCTTCGCCTTCCCATATCCTCAATTTTATCTAACTTTGTCACTGCTTCATCTGGCGCCGGTAGTGGATTATATGGATTTGCTGAGTGCACTGCAGCGTGCGCAACGTAGAGGAAGAGCGGTTGTGCGGTTGCATTATGATCGGCTATCACTCTTACCGCCTCATCGGTTACTATGTCGGTGGTATACTTGCCATGGAAGTCATAGCCAATGTCCATGCCTGAAAGTGTGTAGTAGAATAGAATACAAATAAGTATTGTTGGATGGTTAACTCCCACAGAAGCTCTATGCCTGCCTAAAGTCAAATAATCTCTCAATATTTGTCGTCAAGCTCAACTAACGGCGCGAACCGGAGTAAGAGTGATAGCCGATCATAATGCAACCGCACAACCGCTCTTCCTCTACGTTGCGCACGCTGCAGTGCACTCAGCAAATCCATATAATCCACTACCGGCGCCAGATGAAGCAGTGGCAAAGTTAGATAAAATCGAGGATATGGGAAGGCGACGATTTGCAGGTAAAAGACAAAGAAAGAGCCGCGATCGCGTTACTCAAAAATGCATTGTTTTCTAAACAAAATCAGTTTGATGTTGTGTTGGCTTTCTCATAGTTACACATGCAAATTAATCGCATAATTAACGCTCATTTTGTTATGGAATTCAAATCAATTATCTAATTAAAAATTTGCATAATGCAAATGTAGACCAAGTAAGAGTGACAATGCCGCCTGCATGTCTGCTGCAAGAGCGCTCATCTACTATTTTTCAAGCTAACCGTNGAGTGACGTCGAAAAGAATTTGTTTCTATAGAAATTTCGAATAAGCTAAAATGTTTAGTTAAATGGACTATATTAAGCTCTCTGAAAAACCTCATATTTCGAAAAAAAATTAGCTTTCTGATTTTTAAACAGCTGCGATAAGATTTGCGGTATCGTTCCTTCCTACTGATACATGGCTAATAAAGATTAGAGGGAATTCTTTTTAAGTTAAGAGTGCATAAATATTTTTTTTTTTTGGTATTGCTGGTAGGGTTTATTTAATTTTCTACACTTAGAATGACCTCGCAGTGGCAAATGCCCTGGCCTTCCCCCCGCCTAGAGGGCCATCTTTCCAAGAGAAGTCCACAAGTAGTCAAGGGAACTTCGAGTCTCTCTTTTATTGGGNAAGTGACGTCGAAAAGAATTTGTTTCTATAGAAATTTCGAATAAGCTAAAAATTTTATTCCAATGGCCTATATTACGCTCTCTGAAAAACCTCATATTTCGAAAAAAATTAGCTCTCTGATTTTTAAACAGCTGCGATAAGATTTGTGGTATCGTTCCTTCCTACTGATACATGGCTAATAAAGATTAGAGGGAATTCTTTTTAAGTTAAGAGTGTATAAATTTTTTTTTTTTGGTATTGCTGGTAGGGTTTATTTAATTTTCTTAGTACACTTAGTTTTCCCAGAGGTCTGGACACCTTTATACGCCTTGTAAGGCTACACGACAGTGTTGTGCAGCCAGCCTAGGCAGTCTTCGTTGGATCTTTGACCTCTTCATTTAAAACACCTTCATCATGATAACTCAGAATGGGGACAGTTAAGCTAGTAGATCGAACTGCCGCGTAACTAACCACAGGCTACGGCAGAGGAATAAATGAGACACAATCATTTTTCAGGCGCCTCAACCTCTTGAAGGCAGGAACACAATGGATTTGTCATATGTGTCGATCACAGTCAGGTGTTTGTCAGCAGTCGTAACCGCTTATGGAAAGCAAATAACTAACCAGACCTTCTGAGATTTAGGAAAATGTAAGCTTTGCCTTACATATAATATCCTACTGACGCTAATTGATACGAGTTGTTTCTAATTGCATTTTTATGACATTTAGTCAGCCTTGAGATAATTGTTATTTGAGGACACAGAGAGGCTTATGCACGTCTTTAGCCTCAGAAATCTCACACCGTAAGCTAAGTGTCATCAGGACGTTTTCCGTTGAAATGTGAAAATATGTAATCTCACCGCATGAACCCCGATAGGACAGTGATCTCTTAGTACACCTTACAGAATCGAGAGATACGACTTTTCGAGTCTAAGGATATCCCTAGGCCGCCCTGGTCCGCCCTCGGCCAGAATGACCTCGCAGTGGCAAATGCCCTGGCCTTCCCCCCGCCTAGAGGGCCATCTTTCCAAGAGAAGTCCACAAGTAGTCAAGGGAACTTCGAGTCTCTCTTTTATTGGGGATACCAAGTGCTGAATGAAAACAATATGGCTAGCCTGAATATGTTCCTCCTGTTAATCTTTATTACATACTTTATTTTATCTGAATTTAGGCTAACGAACATTTTCAGAGTTAAACAAAATTAATAGCCTCTGCAGGCTATTTAAGTTAGTCACCCTGCCCTTTCGTTACCAATGTATCACACTCAGCCACTCAAGAATAGACTTAAATAACTCAGTTAATTGTATTGACTTGCTGAGTTCTTAGAAACTGAACGCATAGGTTCCTAAGCACCAAAGTAAGAATACTCAGGTCTTCGATCAAATATTCGCGTCGTTTCGAAAGTGGAGCTTCACAGACGCGAGAACGAATAGGCACGGGTGCGCTTTATGGGCAAAAGTTTATATTAGGTTAGGGTAGGCTAGGTTAGGTTAAGTAAGTTTCGTTTAGGTGAGGTTAGGTTCGTAGTTAACCCTGTCAAGCCATCTTCTTTCAAGCATGGACTTTTACACATTTTTTTCTTCTACTTCCAGATATCCACACATACTGAAAATCCTTTTAGATGAACTTGAACACTTCAATGAGACTGCTGTGCCCGCCGCCAATAAACCAGACGATCCCCGTGGTGATCCGCGCCTACATAATTACGTATGGACAAACTTTGGCGATGTGGTCGATAGTGAGATTGCGGGACAAATTTTATGAGTTGTCGGCTACTAAATGATAATACCATTTTGTATAAAAAACTTCAATATTTTTGTGTTTTATTGTAACATTTGCTTGTCCATTTCATTGATTTAACATAACCTAAGTTATAAGTAATACATAGTATAAAACAAAATAAAAAACGAATATTTAGAAGGTAAGGAGCACAACTTAGCATAGACTCACAATTAAATGAGTTATATAAGATATAGATGTTTGTGATATCAACAATACATTTAAGTTAATTGAACACAGTCAAAGGAATGTGACTACTTTTACGTGCAGATGAGGAATGTGAATAGATGGATAAAAAAAATATACGAGATAATGAAAATGAGAATATTAAATGGGTTTTGGTGTGATTTTAGGATTGCCATAGCGTTTCCTAAATCTTTGAGTTAACTACATACTTTTCTTATTTATATGCCACATGCATTTTGTATACAAAAATGCCGTTATACACGCACTAATTGCTAACTAGAAGATATGCAAAATATTATGTTATTAATAGTCTAGTGTTATGATGATTGAATACGATTATGAGTAATGCCTTTTTATGTATTTATGTATGTATGCAGGTAAATATGATGAGGAGCGCTTTATTTTTCCACGCCCGCCGTATTATCGTGGGCTCGTTGTCCGCTATCGATAGTCTCTGGTCAGTTATTCGCGTTGCACTTTACATACGTAAACAGTGCCTAATATCGGTAACCATTGCCATCATTTTCTCCATTTTGACCACCAGGTCCAAAGCCATTCGGTCGTCCACTAGAGTAACCTTGTCCATCGAGATTGTCTTGACCACCAGGTCTACCATCTGAATAGCCATTGCCGTTGCCATTGTACTGGCCTCCGCCATTTCCATTGCCATTTGAGTAACCATTGCCATTGCCATTGCCATTTGAGTAACCATTGCCATTGCCGTTACCATTTGAGTAACCATTGCCATTACCATTGGCACCCGGTCGCCCGCTTGCATAACCGTTGTCACCTAAATCTTGTCCACTTGGACGGCCATCGGAGTAACCATTGCGGCCGAGTCCTTGCCCACCACCATTGCCATTGCCATTGCGTCCTTTACCATTACGACCGTTGCCATTTCCATTGCCATTAGGACGTCCGCTCGAGTAGCCATTGCCACCAAGATCTTGGCCATTCGAATAGCCACCATTACCACCACCAAGTCCATTGCCATTTTGTTCATAGTCATAGCCGTTACTGCCGCCACCTAGACCACCAGCGCCACCGTTAGCTTCACCTTCATAACGAATTTGTGGTCGATAGCCTCCCTGATCGGCTTCATAGTCGACGATCTGTGTGGGAGCATGCGTGTGTATGTGTGTGGCAAAGGAGAATGTAAAGAGGGTGAGAAAAGAATAGAGAGGAAGTGGTAAACCAAATAATAAAAACATGTGTGATGTTAAGAGATACTTTCGTCGCTAAATTTTAGCTTAATAATAAGCAAACAACAAAAATCGCTGCCTAAAAGTATGCTTGAAAATTNCTGATGTTAAGAGATACTTTCGTCGCTAAACTTTAGCTGAATAATAAGCAAACAACAAAAATCGCTGCCTAAAAGTATGCTTGAAAATTTTCTGTTCCACAAATTCACTTATTGGAATGCTGCATACTGTTAGGAGCCCTTGACATTACTAATTTTGCAACTCGCCGATAATCAAAAGGAAATTGGAGTTCTGACATTTAAATCAAAGTATCTTTAGTAATTAAAGAAATAGTTTCACAGCACTTAAAAAGACACGTTATTAAATTTGTCCTTACTTGCTTCCTTCCGTCAGGCAACAACACATTGTACTGCCCAGTTGTGTAGTCGCCATCACGCATTTCCGAATGTCCAAAGGACAGACCACTCGGGATATCTTCAACTTCGTAACTAAATTCGTATTGTGCCGGTTCCTATAGAATAATAAGGGAAATCGGAAATGCAGAAACGTACTGACGGACAATAAATAAAGCAAGTTTCGTGTGAAGAGTAAGCGAGTAGCGAATAGTGTTACGAATGTCCCAATTGAAGCATTGAATTGGAAAGAGACAAGTAAGAATTTGTGTAAGCGTTAGGAGACACTCAGCAATGAGCGCTCCAAAGTGGGCTGAGTGCGTTAAATGGCAGTGTTCAATGTGTGCGAGCGAGTTTTCAACTGTGAAAACATTAGCATGTTTCGATTTTAACCTTAAGCATTTTTTACTGTCTTACGTGTGCCAAAAACCATTGTGTAGCTCAGAAAGACTCTCAGCGAAATTCGTTCAGCAAAAAAGTATCTCAAATAATTTTCATATTTTAAAAACCCTCGTGTAGCCAATATACCTAGCTTGAAGCTTATATATAAAAACTTTTTCCACTTACGCCACTTTCTCCGCTATCTCCTCCACCACCCTGCGAGTAGTCGTAACCATTATCGCCACCACCATTGCTACTGCGTCCGCCGCCATTCCCGTTTCCATTGCCATTGCCGTTACCATTGCGACCACCCAGGCCTGGTGGTAGGTATTCCTGTCCCGGACGTCCACCTCCATTACCGTTTCCGTTACCATTGCCATTCGTGTAACCATTACCGTTACCTGAAGCTGGCGGACCATAACTGTCGGATGGCCTCTGGCCACCACCAATTCCATTACCGTTTAAGCCTGGTGCGCCATATGTACTCGATGGACGTCCACCGCCATTACCGTTGCCATTGCCGTTACCTCCCAAACCAGGTGCGCCGTAAGTAGAAGAAGGCCGTCCACCGCCATTGCCGTTACCGTTACCATTGCCCCCGGAACTGGGCGCGCCGTAAGTGGATGAGGGACGTCCACCGCCGTTACCGTTTCCGTTGCCATTTCCACCTAAACCGGGCGCGCCGTATGTTGAAGACGGACGCCCACCACCGTTACCGTTGCCGTTGCCATTTTCACCTGCGCCTGGCACGCCATATGAGCTTGAGGGCCGTCCACCACCATTACCATTACCGCCTAAACCGGGCGCGCCATACGTGGATGAGGGACGGTTGCCGCTGCCTCCATTTCCATTGCCATTACCGTTGCCACCACCAAAACCAGGTGCGCCATAGGTGGATGAGGGACGTCCAGCGCCACCACCGCCGCCATTACCGTTTCCATTTGCAGATGGTGGCAGGTAGGAGCTCACTGGTGGTTCGGGGCGCGCTATCACCGCTGATGTTACCAACAGTAGGCTCACGAAACACGCAACTCTCGACATGGCGGCAAATTTATTTTTGGTATGCCCGAATAGGCCTGAGTATCAGCGAATATGCTTTAATTACAGATGTAGCTATGAACACAAAAACTTCTTATGCCAGGACCTAACGTCCTCTATATCCGTCCAGTTGTGTGCCTATTACACTGTGGTACGATGACGTACACTTTATTTCGCTGTGCGGCCTTTATCCTTTTAGACTCACTCTTCCGACTCTACAACTATCGAAGTTCAAATCAAATGATTAAAATCCAAATTCTGACTGATTTCCAACCACCAACTGTTGGCATATTTATATGCAATATGCGACGAAGACGCAACGGTGATGGCGCATATGAAGATGGCTGGTTAGCTACTTTTCNACCATTACCGTTTCCATTTGCTGATGGTGGCAGGTAGGAGCTCACTGGTGGTTCGGGGCGCGCTATCACCGCTGATGTTACCAACAGTAGGCTCACGAAACACCCAACTCTCGACATGGCGGCAAATTTATTTTTGGTATGCCCGAATAGGTCTGAGTATCAGCGAATATGCTTTAATTACAGAAGTAGCTATGAACACAAAAACTTCTTATGCCAGGACCTAACGTCCTCTCTATCCGTCCAGCTGTGTGCCTATTACACTGTGGTACGATGGCGTACACTTTATTTCGCTGTGCGGCCTTTATCCTTTTAGACTCACTCTTCCGACTTTACAGCTATCTAAATTCAAATCAAATGATTAAAATCCAAATTCTGACTGATTTCCAACCACCAACTGTTGGCATATTTATATGCAATATGCGACGAAGACGCAACGGTGATGGCGCATATGAAGATGGCTGGTTAGCTACTTTTCGGAGGCGGCAGATGAGGCGAACGGGTTGCACCAAACAAACCAAAAATAAATTAATAAATACAACAGAAGAGCCATTCGAAAAGCGAGAGGATTTCTTCAGCGATGGCGAGATATGATTTGGCTCATTGTTTTTGTTGTCAATTGATGCGCGATGCTGCAAATGCTCCATACAGCGAGCAGCGCTTAAGACAAAGCGATTGCTATGGGTTGTGTGGCTGTTTGCGCGGCGTCAGTGCCACTCGTCATTCAACTCGGCCGTCGCCGGCATCGCCATCGCCATTGCCACCGTTCATCTTCATTTTGTTCTCCTGCAGCCAACATTGCTGGGCTCGCGTTCAAAGGCAGCCAGCCAGCCAGTCATTCGGCCGCCAAACCAAAGCAGATGAAGCAAAGATTCTCTCAAAATCGCTTACTCGTTTGTTAAGCTGAGCTAACAAAATCAAAAGTCAGCAGCCGCCAAAAAACAACGTTCGCCCTGAAGTGGCATAATGTGTGCAAAATGTGACGCAAAGGCGGCTGGGGTGAAAAAGATATTTTGTCGCAAAATATTAATACACGAAAGAAACCAACAATAGCACAAGCACAATAAGTTGGAAAAATCTTGAGAAATCGGCTCGTAGATATAATTTTTTTTTTTAAATCATATCTAAACATTCATATGTATGTATGTGCGCTGAGAGTGGGTGCAAAAACGCTGCAATCAACGATAGATAGCGCGTGCGCGCGCTTTACTTAGGCGTCCTACACCAATGCCATTGCGTCAACTGGTAGCCTAGAGAACGCATNTAAATTAATAAATACAACAGAAGAGCCATTCGAAAAGCGAGAGGATTTCTTCAGCGATGGCGAGGTATGATTTTGTTTTGGCTCATTGTTTTTGTTGTCAATTGATGCGCGATGCTGCAAATGCTCCATATAGCGAGCAGCGCTTAAGACAAAGCGATTGCTATGGGTTGTGTGCAGTGTTGCCAGAACTTTTTGGGCCGACCGNAAAAATTAAGCAGATCAGTTTTTTCGCTTGGCTGATTATCGACCAGGTCATTATCTCAAAGGTGCTTGTGATGTGTGACTTAGCGCGCGCTACTACTAGTATCTTTAGTTACTGGCTGACGGCCACATAAATATGTGTTGTGGAAGGCACGTGTTTGTGTGTGTGCTTGTGCTGTAGTGCAGCTGTATTCGTTTGCACCTTTTTAATTTAGTTAGTCAATTTCAAGTTGGCATTGTTGCAGCGTATGCATTCACTGAATAATTCTCAATGAAGCAAGCAGAAGTCGTGTGACAGTGATGTCGGCAGGAATGGAAAGATAAGCAGTTGTGTAACAGCTTTAAATTGCATAAAGATCCATTCTGGATGAAGTGAAAAAAGAAGCATATCCTTAAGTCATCGATCAAAAATATGAGGTTCCCGAATTTATTTCTTTTCACGAAGTTCATTAAAGAATGGTGGTAGTCCTACATATAATCACCTGGATACTTTCGAGGATCAATCAGTATTTCACAAAATTTACTGAGCTCTCGTTTATTCGGAGAATTCTGAGTGATCACAGTTTTAAAAACAATTTACAGGGTGATTCAATATAGCAAAAGTTGTCGAAATGAAATTTTTTTTTTCGTCATGTTTTTTACTCTATGCCATTTATTTACAAATCACGATATCCTTTAAATGCCTTCCACGACTTCTCTGTCAACACTGGATGGGTTTATTAGCGTAGACCATACTTTTCACAAAGCTCCAAAGATAACGCGTCCTGGGAGGTTCGCTCGCTGTTGAAACCACATATTGTCCAAGTCGATGTCATCTAATTCAGGTCATAAAATGTTTGTCATCCTGTTTAATCGGCATCATTTTCGAAAAAGTGACTCGATGTGGGTGCATAGTTCTTTCTTGAATGACATGTAGTTTTTTAGTAGCCCAAATGCGGCAGTTTTACTCAAATGTACCTCATCGCAATGCGCGAAATGCACTTCTTGCAGTTTTACGCGTTGTTCAACTGAGTATCGCTCCATGATTAAGTTTGCCAAAGTCTGTAGTATACATTGTATGAAAAAACATTAACGACATCTGCATCACCCTATATATAGTAAAGCCTTCTTAAAAGGACCTCAGCTTGGTTTAGTTGGTTGGTGGGCAGTTGTCGTTGAATCTGCTTACATTTTTTATTAGACTTTGTTTTGAGTAGTGTCCCATTATACGGTCCTTCAAAGCCGAATATTCAAAGCGGTAGTGGTGAATCGATTCCTTACAATACTTAATCTGGAAATACCTTTTCTTTTTCTGGTTTTATTGGTATGTAAACATAATGTAACAAGATTTGCCTGCTTTTTTTTGTTTGGAGATTACTGCATCCCAGAAATTTTTTTAGGTATGGATATTTTTTCTTTGATTATCTCGGACGAAGGCAGGGTACGCTCCACACAGCCCAAGATATTGTGGAAACAGGGCCGGACTCAACCTCAATCCAACAAAAAAAGGATAAGCAAATTGAGTTTACGAAGAGTGCTTAACTCAGCGGTTAGTATGCTGACTTTGCACATAGACCACAGCTGAAGACGTGAAAGAAGTCTGATTTGGAGATGTGGCGATCTCTCCTTCACCATTTCTTTTATAGACTGTCTGACTGCCGTAGGCCGGCTAGTTCTATTCTATTCAAGCCATTGATTATCCCGAGAGGAAAATGTTGTTCGCCCATTACGAATTTTGATTTTGTCAATTCGTCCTTATTCTCATCTTACAGTGCCAGTCTTTTGGCCTGCCTGACTATGTACTTTCGCTAAGAAGATGCTAACATAGTAAAAATACCAGTAAAAACTAGAGATTGCAATCTAGTATTAGTGACAATTTTCGCCCCAATGCAGTCGGATTGGGTTTATTATTGGGTTTATTAACCGACTTCCAAAAAAGGAGGAGGTTATCAGTTCGTCGGAATATATATTTTTTTTTTTTTTTTTATGTATGTTACCGCATAACTTTGGACCGCGTCAACCGATTTCGATAATTCTGCATCGCAAAGGTAGTGTCTCAGAGGTGGTCCCATACTAATCTCGTTAAGATCCGATCAGCGGATCATGAGATATATATATATATATATTTTTTTTATATGGGAGTTGAAGTCGGTTTTTTTTGCTAAAAATTACTAGTTATTATTATTATTGGGTCATTTAGTTTCTGGGTTGCTACTCCATTTATAAGAACTTGAACCCACAAAGAACCCTATCAGCACAAACATGCAATGTCGGTCAGCCTTAGCCTCCTCCGTTAATTCAGATTATATCGTTGAGTCTGAATCATCCCAGCTCGATACAAAATATAATTTCCTTGCTGATTTTACATCTCCAAATATTAGGTTTATGTCGTCCGTAATGAGTCAGGCCTCAACCTATCATTGATTGATTGATTCAACTTTTAATGAAGTCACTCCACTAGGAATCACGATGCTGATCAATTACCAAGCACAAGAGCAAAAAAGAAAGCACGCTGGCCTGAGGACAGTCCCAATGAACTTTTCACGTGACATATTGATCTCCTCCTGCCTGAACTGGAATGACACTCTGCCCTTGCCTAAGAGCCGATTTGCCCATCCTCAATGTGAGATCGGACATCCAAGCTGTATATACTCAAAAATTTATCACTGTTTCGTGGCCTGTGTTCACCATTAAAAGTAAAGGAACGCATCCCTGTTATTGAACGACAGTTCTGCGGTTGGCGGAACACAACGGGCATTAGCTTTAACTTCACATTTAAAAATTGCAGAAGAATTCTTGACGGGTATTCCAAATATTGACTACTGCTTGCGACGCGGATACGCAATAAGTAGTACCAACAGTAGCTACCAATTCATTTTACCGAGTCGTAGATATGCACGTACGCGATGCCCTTAAGCGCCGACCCGCAACACCGCCAAGCCACAGAACAGCAGCAGATAAAGAAGAGGATCTATGTAAAATTGTGTTGAAACGTGATTAAAATATCAACGCACAAGAATTGTAAGTGAACTGGAAAACACAGCCAGAGGCACAACAACAACAACAACAACAAGAGCGAAAATTGCATTGCCGGAGCGAACACACGTGCTTAGCGTTGACAACAGCAATAATAACAATTAAAATAAACAAACGAAAATTGCTACACGCACGACCACCAACTGGAGCGCCAGCCAAACGCCAAGCGAAGCCATGCCAGGTCAGACCAGCGCACTGCAGCGCCAGATCCTCCTCCGCAGTCATGCAGCTGCCGCGCGCGTCTGACTGTTATGCTTAGCACTCAAAGCGCGGCGTTCAGCGTTTAGTACTCGATGCTTAGCGCGCAAAACGTGCTACAAAATTAATTGCATAATATTTTTCATGCAATTTACAGCTACGAGTGGGGAGTAAGTGCTCATACCTATGTACATATGTAGGTACCCAGAATGCGTGATTGCGGCAGATTCGCTTTTTAAAGCGAGCGCGCACTCGCGCGTTCAAAAAATTCAGCTTCTACGCCCCCCTCCCTGTGTTTGGTTATTGAACGAGTTGCACTCGTCACAACACTTAAACGGATATAAATTTTCCTATAAGACGAATATTACAGAATTGTATTTTAGTTAGTTAGTTTGTATTTATTTTTGATTTTGTTATGGAATCTCGGTGATTGTTGTGCGCT